GTGAGCAGATGATGTGAGGCTAATGAGAAGGATTAAATCGGATGAGAATCAGGCAGGACTACAAAGAGACCTGAATAGGCTAGACACGTGGTCCAGCAACTGGCTTATCGATTTCAACCCTGCCAAATGCAAAGTCAAGAAGATTGGGGAAGGGGAAAGAAAACCGCAGACAGAGTATAGGCTAGGTGGACAAAGGCTGCAAACCTCACTCAAGAAAGATCTTTGGGTGACCATAACACCGAGCACGTCTCCGGAGGCAACATCAACCAGATAACGGCTGCAGCATATGGGCTCCTGGCAAACCTGAGAATAGCGCTCCGTAGCGTAAGGAATCCTTCAAGACACTGTACACTGTGTACGTCAGGCCCATACTGGAGTATGCAGCACCAGTTTGGAACCCACACCTGGTCAAGCGCGTCAAGAAATTAGAGAAAGTGCAAAGGTTTGCAACAAGGCTAGTCCCGGAGCTCAGGGGAATGCCCTATGAAGAAAGGTTGAGGGAAATCGGACTGACGACACTGGAGGTCAGGAGGGTCAGGGGAGACATGATAACAACATACAAAATAACAACATACAAAATAAAGGTGGACAGAGACAGGTTGTTCTAGAGAGGGAACACAGAAACAAGACTCAGACGAGTCACAGGGATGTTAGAAAGTACTTCTTCAGTCACAGAGTCGTCAGGAATTGGAATAGCCTAGTAAGGGATGTAGTGGAGGCAGGAACCATACATAGCTTTAAGACGAGGTATGACAAAGCTCAGGAAGCAGAGAGAGAGAGAGAGAGAGAGAGAGAGAGAGAGGACCTAGTAGCGATCAATGAAGAGGCTGAGTCTCGACCCCTGCAACCACAATTAGGTGAGTACAACATAAAACCTGCCTTTACCACATTTCACGTCATTTACACTAGTACACTGCTACTAGTTATTTAAGGTTAAGCCATATAAATTATCCACAACACTGGGTCTCAATGACGTCCCTCCCTTCTGCAGGTAAAATTATATTATTTCTGCACTAGATTACGCAGCCCCCCCCCCCCCCCACATAAATACCATGGCCATGCCCAAGCCAGGGCTATGCCCACTGCTAGGGAAAAACTTGAGAATACAAAATTTTCACTAAAAGCGACCTATGGTCTGAGAATTATAATGAAATAGTCCAATGTACTTAACCCTATGCTATGTCTATCATACCTCTCCAGACACTGCTTCCCGTGACGCTGCACGACTCACTCCACTCACCTGACTCATACGCGTCCATCTACCAATCAATTCGCTTTCACTTAAGCACTACACTATTTTTTGGAGCTTTTTCCCCATAATTGAGATACTTCTTTATGTTTTATAAACATTACTATGACAATGCAGTGCCCTGCATAATAATAATGTACCCTCGATATAACACATACTTTAGTAAACCTGGAGTATATACCTAGGTATTCCCGAGTATACTAAAGTATACTGAGAATACTGCGCTATACTGAAGCATTATTGGGAATTCTGAGGCATTCTTGGTTATGAAACATGAAGAATCTCCCTAGATTTCTTTCATGCGTCCTAAACATATCAGGCTATTTCAAAAAGGCGTAAAATAAACATAAGTATTTTCTATATTTATTTTAATCTCTAGAAGCATATTAATACAACCTTAGTTGGGAAAATCATCGTATAATCCACACTCAACATGACTCTTAGTCCCGGAGATCTTCGGAAATTTGTTTAGGTAATTCTCAATAAAGTTAGTGTTTAGAGGTCCAGCTGCCTGTGGATGAGAGAATAACACATCTACAGCTTTTCCTTGGTTGGTTTATGTGTATAATTCCTGGTGTTCAAGCATCAACAAGATCCAGGTGCGCAAGTATTCACAAATTTCAGATTCTCTGGTGTGCAACAGTTCATAGGTTACTGTTGTCTGTGTGCTGGTGTTTATAAATTCCTTTTGTTGTGGCATGCCTGTGTCTACAAGTTTCTGATATTCTAACCCGTACCTCGGGTATGACCTACTTCCACCGGGGGATCCCGCCTACCAGTGACTATACCTTCATCTGCTACCCGTCCGTATCCACCTGTCGTCAGTATATAAGCGCCAGCCTTCTTGCCTATGCTCCAGAATCTTCACAACTACGGTGCTCTCAACACCAGTTCCAAGGCTGAGGGATTGATTACCTCATCTTTTATATATAGTTCTACTGCTTTCAAATTACGTCCTTGAATTTCTATTGATAAACCCACTGGATGGTGAAACGTCTACAAAAAAGATATCCAGATGTTGCACATGTGTCTAAATTTTTGGTTAAGATTTGTTAGGAAAAAATGACTAACGGTGTTATATACTAAGTTATGTAGAACTGAATCTAATATAATCTAATAAAGTCAAATAATATAACTTATTTCTATTGGGGGCTGCGTTATATAGATATATAGTCTTTGTTTTACAAAGGCATGCATTTATTGTCTTACACTCATAGTAATGGTAATTAAGTAATTCAACATAAGACCAAATTCTTCCGATCAAGAACAAATTATGCATATTTTATAAACAAAATAAATCACTCTCTTCCCTTTCTGCAGCATTATTTACTGAATATCCTTTGGTTCTATTCTTAAACTGTTTTATATTAAGACTTTGACTTCATCAGATAACCCAGTTTATTCCTTTACCGCTATGTGATTGGTGTTTGGGGCCTGGCTACCTTCTGTGGGTACCACAGTAGGTAGAGTACCCACACTCTCTGGGTACCCTCTAGCACCATACTAATACAGGTTCCTAACCTATATAGAACTGACAACAAGATATGTTAGAAAAGAATTTTTTTTTTTTTATCAGTTTTGTATACTTGATTGAGTTTCAGCTGCTTTATCCTGTTTTACACTTATATAATTTCCTGCCTCTTTAATCCATTCCGTCACGCATGTTCTCTTGGATGGGATGATTATCGCCATCTTATGTTGCTTAATTTGTAGTCTATTTTAAAGTACCATGAAGCACAAATATAGTCTACATGGCATTATGTGAAAACTGGACATAGGATCTTGTGCCCCTGAGCTGGTAGGCACCGCACCTATCGGTAGAGGAACTTTAAATTAACCCGAAGTTAACTTTTCTTATTATATGGTTCACTATCAATTCACCTGATATGCAAAGATCAAATGATATAGATGGATATTATACAGGAATTACCATTGAGATGGTTTCCTGGTTGCACAGTTTTCGTAAATTATTTGCATGTTTTTCATATGCATAGTGACAGCTTATCATTATTCCATCTCTGGAGTTTCAGTGATTGCACTATAACAAAATCATCTGTCTTTTTTCCCCTGACCCTAAGAGAGCATTGTTACATATACACAATAGGAGTTTGCCCTTAACATTAAATATATATTATTTATGTACCATAAGAAAAGCAGGCTATGAAGCACCCTCTTCTTTACCTATAGCTTGCGACATTGATCACTTGTTTCACAATGTTTTACACCGCACGTAACTGTGATTTCTTTCCATACTTTGACATACATTAATGTCTAAGTTATTTGGGTCCACTGTGCATGATAACTGAGCTAGGTGTGTTAATGTAAGTACATCACCCCAGTGTAGGCCTTCCCTTACCCAGCATCTCTCGCTCTCAGGCACCTCCGACCTCTTGTCTTCTTACTAACACGATCCTTCACCCCCTCATACAACCTGCAAAGTACTTTCGCTGTTTACATTGAAACGTTGTACTAGAGTGGCTTCTGACTGTACTGAAATCTCCCATAGTCATTCTTACTTTACTGTTTTGTCGTGACCTTGTGAGTCTCGTTGATAGGATACTTTTTTTTAAATCCTGCAGCTAGCCAACCACATGTGTGTCAAAACACCAACACCCACACGCATTCACACAAACACTTGAGAAAAGGCGGGGCCAGGAGCTGTGACTCAACTCCTTCAACCAAAAATAGGTGTGTGTGTGTGTGCATACTCACATATTCACAGTAGATTTCAGAGGTGCTCCTGTTTGCAGACCATGTGAATCTAATGCGAAGAATTCAAATGGATGAGGATCAGGTAGGACTACAAAGGGATCTGGACAGGCTACAAGCCTTGTCCAACAACTGGTTCCTGGAGTTTAACCCCACCAAGTACAAAGTCACGAAGATTAGGGAAGGTCAAAAAAGACCGCAGAAAAGAGTACAGGCTAGGGGGCAAAAGGCTGCAAACCTCACTCAAAGAAAAGGATCTTGAAGTGAGTATAATACCAAATAACTGCTGCAGCATAAGAGCGCCTGGCAAACCTAAGAATAGCGTCATTCAAGACCTTGTACACAATGTACATCAGACCTATATTGGAGCATGCAGTACTAGTATGGAACCCACACCTGGTCAAGCACGTCAAGAAATTAGAGAGGGTGCAACGGTTTGCAACAAGACTAGTCCGGGAGCTAAGGGGTATGTCCTTCGAAGAGAGATTAAACGAAATCGACCTGACGACACCGGTGGACAGGAGGGATAGGGGAGACATGTTAACGACATGTAAAATCCTGAGAGGAATTGACAAGGAAGACAGGGACAGTATGTTTCAGAGATGGAACACAGCAACAAGGGGTCACAACTGGAAGTTGAAAACTCAAATGAGTCACAGGGATGTTAGGAATTATTTCTTCAGTCATAGAGATAATAGGAAGTGGAACAATCTGGAGAGTGATGTATTGGAGGCAGGATCCATACATAGCTTTAAGAAGAGATATGATAAAGCTCTTGGAGCAGGGAGAGAGCGGACCTAGTAGCGACAGGTGAAGAGGCGGGTCCAGGAGCTGTGCCTCGATCCCTGAACCACAAACAGTGAGTACACATGTAGGTCGTTGTTTTACATTCTTCATCAAGTTTTTTGGAGTTTTTTTCTTTATTTTATCTTCCATTACTCTCATAATCCCTGTGATTATTTTACTTGTATTTTGCCACAACTTTTTTAAAAGTAGAAGTATGATATAGTTCTTGTACATAATCAAAGACAGTAAAATAAACTTTAATATTTTTCATTTATTTTTGTGTCTTCTACAGAGCTATATTAATACGACCACCATGGAGAAGGTCCCGGCGGTACGTAAAGACCTTTTAGTTAATCCGTGGAAAATTTAGATGTCCAACTGTGTGGAAATGTGACATCATGAAATCTGTAATTGTTATTTTGCTATGATTTGCATGTGATCTTCTGGGCACCTGGAGTTCAGGTGCCAGGCGATCACGGTGTGCAGGTTTTCGCTAGTTCCTGGTCACTAGGTGTTCAGGTGCCAGACGATCACGTTGTGCAGGTGTTCCCTAGTTCCTGGTGACCTAGTGTTCAGGTGTTCGCTAGTTCCTAGTGATCTGGTGTTCAGGTGTCCACAGATTCCCGGTTTCAAGTGTTAATCAGCTTCTGGTGTTCTGAAGTGTAGAAATATATTTATTACTGGAAATTATTTAGAATTCCGAAGTATTCAGAGGCTCTTAAAGTTTTGGATGTCATGTGTGTCGATGTTAGTGTGCGCGTTGTTATCTTAAGAGCTGGAGAAGAGGGTGACACATCTGGTTACCCTTGCTGCTCCCTCAGCAGTCAGCTGTAACATAAAATGTTTATCAAGTACATATTAAAGCAACATATCGCTCAAAGAGAGCTTTATTACATGATAATAAACATCTCTATGAGAGAAACGATACCTTAATAAAACACTCCTGGTTCACAAAGAAGTGTCATTAGAATGCGTGTATATATAACTATGAACCTTCCTTTTCCATATCTTTAAGTAATTTCGACCAATGCTAAAAGCATTTTCAGGAACTGAAAAAAAATTGAATGAGATGAAGTTTCATTTACACAAGTCACAAGACCTGTGTTTCAGCAGAGACTTGTGACTTCCAGACTAAGGCAAAAATTGCAGTCAGGTTTCGATTATCTTTCTGTGACGCTCAAATTGGGTCCTCGTATAATCAGAACTGAGTAAAGAATTTTGTGCATTGCCTATTTTTTATGTTTACCTAATAGAATCATCTTCCCATTTAATATAATATTTTTATGGCTAGTAACAAATTAAAACCTCACGAAATCGTAATAACATGATTGCAAACAAACCACTGAACGGATGGGGTTAGAACCCATGGGGAGTGAGGCGTACAACTCCAGGCAAGCCTGTAAACCACTGGGCCAGCTGGCTACAATAGGTTAGATAAATCTTACTGTAGCCAGCTGGCCCAGTGACTTACGCAATGGCCTGGAGTTTTACGACTCACTCGCCATGGGTTCTAACCCCACCCGTTAAATGGTTAAATTATAAACTGTTAGATTATCTTGTGCCTGCTTAAAAAAATCATTGAAATTCAGTTTTTAAAGTAAAAGCATTTATAACCAACAAATTATTTACACTAAAACTTATACACTGTCTGTAATTCCTTAAAAAAAATCACGATTTCTTTGAAACGTGGGTAAAAATGAAATCGTAATTTTTTAACATGAATTATTTTTGTTGTAACCTGGGATGGAATTCAATAGCAACGACAAACACCTTACATATGCATTAAATAATTTTTCTAACATAGCCATAACACATTTGGAATAAAACTAGAGCTCTTCTAGAATACAGTATAAGTTATCGGCAGGAAATTTATTTTAAATAACGGCCTCAGAGTATTGTTGATCATCTCACCTGTTTAAACAGGAACAATGAGAATTCCTTCTTTAGCTTTGGCACCAGAACTACCACCTACAATGCCAGATCCCCTGTGGCGTCCACGGAGGTCTGCGAAGATAAAATAAATATTAGTTATGGTTGAACATTATCAAATAATCCACTTGATTTACACCTTCCTTACTAGTGAACTACATGTAGTTCTGCTCATGTGAGGAAAACACTCCTTACTGGACAAGATTGTATTTAAACACCGATTCGTTGTGTGTCTTTTCTTCATTATGACCTCAGAACGCTATACGAATCCAGTGTCGCCTGTTTTATCACACAGAGTTATGTAATGAAAAATAAAAGGAAGTTTAAAGAAACAAATGTACTTCAGATGAATGTGGAAAGTTGATCTTGTGGTTCGTCAACTCTCAGATTTCCACTCCAGCGTTCTACCACTAGTAGTAGAATGATGGGCAAGATATATGAATTTACTTATTTAGCAAAATTAATGCATCACCACTGTAATCATTAAGCTCTGCTCATTGATTACACCTCGGTAGTTCCACCATTTACATTAAAATTATATTCCTTTGCTTAAGTTCTCCGAAGTTATTGACCACCGCCTGACTACTGTGTAGCAGGGTTAGTTCCGGCTCATCAGTTCCCTGGGGAGGACACACATTGGTGCGTCTCTGATTCTAGCTTTGTATGTTTTTTTTTTTTTTTTACCATTTTTATTATTTGTAACCGTTACCAGTTTCTGTCTTCTGTATTTGTACAAGTGCTTTTGTTTTACGTTTTTTGTAAATTATAGTGACGGAGACTGATTCGCCAAAACGTTGATAAAAGCATTTTATGAGTAGAATTTTTCCTGTTAAAACCACGGAGGGAGGAAATCTTAAGTTCAAGTACTTTCACACTTCTCAATGAGTCATCAGGAGATGTGCAATATTGCCAAGGCAGCAACAGGAGAAATGAGAAGTTTTTTCAGAGAATGGTAGCGTGATTGGCACCAGCCAGTATCTCACTCTGAATAAGGGAGTCCAGGCCGAATGCCAACCACCCACCGGTACCTCAACATCCCACCCTATATGGGGTCACGTGGGCTAGGCCTTACAGTTTCCGGATAGCATGAAGTAGAGTAACTAGGAGGTAGTTAATAGCTAGTCCTAAGCTTCTAACCGCTGGGAACAGGTCATGTAACGTAAGAAGCTACATTACTATAGTGGATGACTCAAGAAATCGTAATGACACGATTGCAAACAAACCATACCCCCGGTCGGGATTGAACCCGCGGTCATAGAGTCTCAAAACTCCAGCCCGTCGCGTTAGCCACTAGACCAGCTAGCCACAATAAGATTCATCCAACTAGGTATATTTCTACACCATAGGACCCCTCAAGGAAGGTTCCTTGATGTTGGTGAGGGGCTCTTGATTTAGGGAATTGGATCTGTGCTCCAGTTCCCCGAATTAAGCCTGAATGCCTTCCACATCCCCCCCCCAGGCGCTGTATAATCCTCCGGGTTTAGCGCTTCCCCCTTGATTATAATAATATTAATAATAATCTACACCATAGGAAGGTTAGCACAGGCACCACTGTGACCACAAATGCAAGCTTTTACAGACGAATCTCCAGCTAGCGTGGCCGTGACGAACTCTAGCTCAAGTCCCTTCACTGCCGTCAATCCCGGCCGGGGGTATGGTTTGTTTGCAATCGTGTCATTACGATTTCTTGAGTCATGTTGACGGCAGTGAAGGGACTTGAGCTAGAGTTCGTCACGGCCACGCTAGCTGGAGATTCGTCTGTAAAAACTTGCATTTGTGGTCACAGTGGTGCCTGTGCTAACCTTCCTATGGTGTAGAAATATACCTAGTTGGATGAATCTTATTGTGGCTAGCTGGTCTAGTGGCTAACGCGACGGGCTGGAGTTTTGAGACTCTATGACCGTGGGTTCAATCCCGACCGGGGTATGGTCTATAGTGGATCATCCACATACAGTGTAGCTGTTGTGTACAACATTATAACTAATGAAATAGAAGGAATAAATGCCCTCATTTTGTCAACCGACAAAATGAACCTAGAATATTCAGAAAATACTCTCAGTGTCAGTTAATATGCCTGTATGATCTCTCCTATTCTGGTTTTTCTTATAATAACTAGGTAATTCCTGAATTTTTCTTTCTAATGCTACCATTATCATTATTATATTACTAACAGTCTAATTCAGTAAACCACTGAACCAGTTGTAATCACCATGTTGCAATCAGCTATGTGTACCTTGTGCCGCTGTGTCTAGACGCGTTAGGCCTCTTTTGGGCTATCCTAGGATGAACACACATGTGCACCCATACCTAAATGAACCCCCATGAATACTTCCTTACTAATGATGTTATATCGCTCAGGTTGCAGTCTGTATTGCTGTACACCACCTAGACCACACCACCTAGCATTACGATACCTGTATGTAGTAGTAGCTGGGTTATACACTATGCTGACGGGCACGGCAGACCTAACATGTTATATATGGACATTCGCGACGGACTTAACAGGATGTTATATATTTTATCGACGTTCAGGACGGGCGTACCATGATGTTCAGTTTGCAGACTGGTCGAAAATAACCAGAACATCACGAAACTTTCTGGCATAATGAGAATTCTGAGTTTTTCTATAACAATGTTATTTATCTATTGAGTTTGTACAATCCATAATTTAAGTTATATACGGCATTTTTATCATGTTTCAAAAGAGAGGAGTCGGTTATGTTATTTCTATGATGGAACTGTTGGGTACAATTATCTGGGCAGGCAGCCCACCCCGGTGAGTGGTTACAAGAAGTGACATGGTTAAAGATTGCTTTCGAAACCTGGCCCATCCTGATTAAGTACAGATTATCCCAACATCAGTATCTAATCTCGAACAGATAGGATTAGATGCTGCGATATATTCTCCAGCCTCGGGAGGTAGCTGAAATTAGCCTTGAGCTTGCCACTACCACAAGTGTCCTCGGTTCATGAACAGCACCTAGTTCTGCTGGGTACACGATTCTTGTAGGATCGCTAGTTAAGTGGTTAAGGCAATGTGAACACTGTTCTGTCTTTTGAGGTGGGAGAATGTCACAGGCCGAATAAGTAAAACTTGCGATTTTGGTTCTTTTGGTGCAAAATTATTATTTTTCACATTAACATAATTGAAAAAATATAGCTCTAAACGTATAAGAGAAAATTTTAGAAAGGACTAAATTTTGTATGGGTTCTTATTAATTGACCAATTTTACCTATTGGGCACGACACACACACACACACACACACACACACACACACACACACACACACACACACATACACATGTTGGTATGGGAAATATTAATACTTACTGGAGAGAGCTCTTGATCCTTGGTTTTCCACACTACTGACGTCACTCGAGCCTGTGAAGCCTCCTCCGAAGCCTTTGTTTATTCCAGCATACTCTGTGAATGAAACCGAGGTTTCTGTTTTATGCAGCTGTAGTAAAAATGTATAGGTTATATATATATATATATATATATATATATATATATATATATATATATATATATATATATATATATATATTATATATATATATATATATATATATATATGCAATAAGATCACAGTAAACAGATGATTTCAGAATATGCAAAACAACTGGCCGGGAGAAAACCGGCGAATAAAAAAAAAAACCACTGTGAAAGAATAGAGAAATTCCAAGCGCTTTCGTGACTACTCACATTATAAAGGAACAATGATTGTTCCTTGATAATGTGAGAGTAGTCACGAAAGCGCTTGGAATTTCTCTATTCTTTCACAGTGGTTTTTTGCATATATATATATATATATATATATATATATATATATATATATATATATATATATATATATATATATATATATATATATATATATATATATATATATATATATATATTCAAAGCAACCATGGAGGAGTAGAATAATAGCTCTAGGCTTTCGTGTTGCACTCAAGACATCATCAGGTGTTTGCAAAATTGCAGAAAAGAGGAGTTCTAGCAAATAACGTTCCCAGAGGGCTGCCTTTATTCACAGTCTTGTATCACTTGGTTTGCGATATTTGCTTTATATATATATATATATATATATATATATATATATATATATATATATATATATATTATATATATATATATATATATTAGTGTGTATGTATGAATATAGTCTTGGTTTTAATTATCGTTGCTAAAAGTAATTAATTTCGCAAAGTTCCGTAACGCTTACTTTCCCTAACATCAGCACAAAAATAATTAGTTACAACTTACCACCAGCTCCAGAAGTTCCTGCTCCTTGAGGAAGATCTAAAACAGTTTCTGACTTGGAGCCAAATGTTCCTTCTCCGGCCAGAAGACCCAAGACCTCTGAAGGATTAAGAAGATATTTAATTCTACGTGTAGTTGTTTCTATAGAAAACTGTACTTTTACTTAAATTATGTAAAACTATTGCTAAAAATATAAATGCTAGAGTAAGCAAGTGCCTTCGTGTATTCAAACAAATTTCAAACGATCAAAAAACTCTAAAAGGTTATAATCGTAACTGTGATTTTTAAAAGAGGTAAGCCAGCGGAAGTCCTCGGTCAGAACCAACAAAACCTCCAGCCGTGGGTCATTGTATGACTAATGATTACATCAAACTCCTCCTGATCTTTAACAATTCTTCTTTGTATTTTACTGAGGAAGCCACTGGAAACAAATTTTTCACGCTAATAATTGATGGGAATTGATGAATAGCCATCTAACTGAAAAGGAGTGAGTCAGTAAACACTGCAGTGCTCCTTAAATAAAAAAATGTTAATATCAATTAAACAACTTACGAGCTCTGCTCTCGCCTGGTCCTTCGTCTCCCATCTTGGATTTCAGTGCACTGTCGACGAAAGTGTCGCCTTGACCGTAGGCGATGAAGTCTGTGAATGACAAGTTAAAACATGACCAACTAGGTTAAAACTAACATGTCTCACGACGATCTAATCATACCTCACGTACTTCTTGAATAATATTTAATAACCAGTGACCATCATATCTTGATTTCTCAATACTTTTTCATTGCCAAAAAGTATTGCATGAGTTAGGCAGAGATGAGCACAAAAAAACAAACTATGAATAAGATGCAGACATACGTGCTCCGGAAAGTTTATGGGTAAAATCCTCATTCCTTCATGAACAATCTGCCTGACTTTAATAAGTGAAATTCTGTGAACGTAACGCGGTATAAGGCGGACAACACAGATGAATACAGATATTGTTATATTATGAACAAGTAACACAAATGATTGAAGAAGAAGACATAAATGATTGAGAATGAGGCATATTGAGGATGGGTTTTCTTACCAGAGCGTGCAGGTTCGGGGTCGACGACGATAATGTCTGGCTTAGGAAGAGCAGCGGCCAGTGTGCAGGTAGCGACAAGAAATACCACACTCAGCTACTCCGGCACAACACAAATAAATGAAGACATTAACAATAATTATATATACAACGAGGTGGTTGGAACAATTCTCAACTAAATCACAAATTTAAATTCTGGATGACATTTCATTATGTTGTAGACATGTTGTTATGTTTTCCAGTTTGTGGGCTGATGAATATTCAAGACATTTATGTACAACTAAGTTAAGGCTCTCTCTAGCTCATTTGAAATATTAAGCATTGGTTTTAAATTAGGTACAAGCTCGCATTTGTATTTTCATTCTAACCTATCTTTGTGCTCCCAGTTATTTCACTATGAGAATAATTTTCCTCAGTGGATAGATAGCGTACATCCCGCTTTGCACGTTGATTCTACTCATATCTGTCTCTTATGGACTCAGTGTGCTCAGTACTCTCGTAAAAACTCAATACACAAAATCATCTTATTAACTCTTTCAGTGTCGGTCCCGGTAAATTTGGGTCCTGACATGAGAGAATGGGTCTATGTGGTAAGTGTGCCATATAAAAAATATTCTGCAGCATGTAGTGCATAATGAGAAAAAACTGCGACCTTGTTTTTGGTTTAAAACACATACTTTGTGACGCATATTCTTATGATTTTTATGGTTGCATTCTCGTTTTCGTGGTCTCAAGTGATAGAATGGAAGACATATTACAGAAATAGATGTGTGTTTGATTGGGTTCGGGCCTGAAACTAGCCTGAAATTGAGCTTAAAGTAGCGGAACTGTTCGATTTTTGCCGATGTTCGAGAGTTAACAAATCACGTCACGCGTCCAGTACACGTCAACATGTGGGTGTAATATGCGTTCACAAATACGCTGATAATATTTATATAATTATTACAATAATTCAGTAGTCTGTATAACAGTAAATCTATTTTTTGCGTGAATAAAAATTCAAAACGAAAATAAGCATAATATAAGAGGGGCTTGGAGACGTGACTAATGAACAAAGAAAATGTTATTTACGTTATTTTAGCGCCAGGAATGTCTGCAATGTTTGAGCCATGTATTGAAATTGGACTTTCTTAAATTTTGTGTGAAATTGGCCAAATTAAAAATTTCTGATCACTTTATTAGGTTGTTGAAATAGATAAATGGGCAGTTTCTTGTAATCATTCGATATAATAAAAGTAGTACTAGTGAAATATCTATGCGTTTGGTCGACAGGAACAATGGAATTGACCCAAAATAGGTATCAAAGTGGGCGAAATCGCCGATGCGTAAATATCGCCAAGACCGCTTAGGTTGAGAGAGCATAATTCCGTAAGCTGTCCATCAAATTTCGTACTTTTGGTTTCATTACCTTTGTAAAAAGATTCTCCATCATTTAGTAAGCAGTGTCGCGACACTGTAAAGGTTGACATAATATTGCGTCTCGAAATGTTACCATTCAAATGTGCAGATATTATTCAACTTTCTTTAGTAATTTAATAATTGAAAGATTTTAATTGTATGATAAAATGAGAGGAAAAATAATTTAATTTTCCCCAGAATTATTGTTGCGAAATACCTTATCTTCCTAAATTACGAATTAGCCTAAGCCTCACTTGTAAAAAAAAATGATTTGCAACCAAAAAATAAGATTAGTTATTTATATAAATGCACACACACATTATTTATTTATCTATCTGTATATAATATATATATATATATATATATATATATATATATATATATATATATATATATATATATATATATATATATATATAATATATATATATATATATAATGTATATGTATATTACATAAAACTCTGAAGTTCATCCAACAAATTTATGAACAGAAAAGTTAAGCAAATTGAACGACCGAGGTTTAATCTACATACAACCATCTGTTATTCTGATTTAAAACATGAAGAAAATACATTGAAAAAAAAGAGTGTGCTTCAGATTAAGTTTTTGATGCTTGATTTTTTCCCATTTAAGACTTGCATAGCAATGCTTCCTTGTAACCACCTGAAATCTTAACACTTCACAACTTACCATGATGGCTGTTTGCGGGGTGGACCTCGATGTTATCGACTGAAGAGAACACCAGATGACCAAGTAAGAGAGTGAAACCCATTATATAAGCCGAGAAGTTCATTATCGTCAAGGACTAGTGCTTTAAACAATGAATAAACATAAGCATTCTTCCATAATATTTTTGATAAAAAAAATACTAGTTAAACGAAATATGATATCATAGGATTTTTTCTCTTCAAGGTTATATTGTAATTCTCTTATTCGTTTTCACATTGTATTCATACATTGTTAATGTCACATGTGGTAAGAGATCAGCTCATAAATGCACTTTACTGATCATTTCGTAAAAAATTCCTTTTCAGACATTTAATATGTGATGAAGTTACATTAAGAGAAAATATTAAAATATCTACGTTAATAGGCGTGACTCTCGTATTCTTGCTACATCTGTAATAGCGACCTCGTCTACTTGTGTACTCCAGAGTAGTTATTTATAAAGGAGAAATTATATTGGAGAAATTATAATCTTATTACTAAGTGTTTATTTAGGTCTCGTTCATTGATTTTACATATTAATTTATGTGATTTATAAATAACAAAAAAGGCACAATACCGTGACTGGAACGATACACAAATAACCCGCACATAAAAGAGAGAAGCTTACGACGACGTTTCGGTCCGACTTGGACCATTGATTTCAACCAGTAATGTGTAATTCCTTCATTTCTACTTAGGCAAATATACAAGCGTCTTATCTACTTCCATAAGTGATGTTAATAAAAAATAAATCCACGTTAAGATGAATATATAAGATAAAGAACATATAATCTAAGTAATTTGTCACTGTAGATACTTCGTGGCAGACCACATTATTAATATTTAACATTATGATTTAGGAGTGATGTCACCTCCAGGATCACAGTACTGTCATTATCAGAACCACGAGGAAAATAATAAGTTACATCTTTTCTCTAGGCTGGAATACTGATGTAAACTAACACCCTCGTTTAAGGCTGGCGAAATTGTAAATATAGCGAACGTACAGAGAACCTTCACTGCGATTATAAGTTCAGTCAAGCTCCTTGGAATTCAGGCGAGATAGATATATCATAATTTACACCTGGAAAATCTTAAAAGGACTGGTCCAGAATCTGCACACAGACAACACTCCCTTAAAAAGCAAAAGGCACAGAAGACAGTGCAATATGCTTCCAGTGAAAAGCAGGGGTGCCAATGAGTACAATGAGAGACGATACAAAAAATAATAAATTATTAAACAGCTTCTAATCATACGTAAAGAGATTTGCCATTAACCTCTAGTTGTCTTCAAGAGGGAACTGGACAGGTTCCTAATATCAGTTCCTGACCAGCGATATATTCAGATCCCAATTATTTGTTTTTCATTAAGTCGATATACATTAGAAGTTTTAAAAAACTACAAAGGCTTGGATACATACAGTCAGGTTTTAGTGTGGCTGGGTTCGTGACAATAAAATATACAGGGATTATAAACAACGAATGCCTGGTCAAAGCAAGTTTAATACGTAAGTGAAAGACATACACTGAGTGTGGAAAGCTTAATTAGCTGACGAGATTTCGCTTATTAGCCGTGTTTTCTTATGGTCAGTCAATGTGTAATTGTGTTTAGTAAATAATTTGTCTGAACTAGTGTTGTAATATTGTCAAGTTGTGGAAAGAGACACGTATGTACCTGGAGTATACCTGGAGAGGGTTTCAGGGGTTAATGCCCCACATGCCCGGTCTGAGATCAAGCCTCGTGATGGATCAGGGTCTGATCAACCAGGCTATTACTGCTGGCCGCACGTAAACCGACGTTCGAACCACAGCTCGGCTGATCAGGTACTGACTTTAAGCGTGTGTCCAATGCCTTCTTCAAGACAGCCAGGGGTCTGTTAGTAATCCTCCTTATGTATGCTGGGAGGCAGTTGAACAGTCTTGGGCCCCAGACACCTGTCGTCTCTTAGGGAGTGATTTTCGTGTACAAGATTGGTACTAATCCCTCTAGGATTTTCTAAGTGTATATTATCATGTATCTTTCTCGCCTGCGTTCCAAGGAATACAAATCAAGGGACTTCAACCGTTCCCAGTAATTTAGGTGCTTTATCGTACTTATGTGTGCTATGAAAATTATCTACATTCTCCAGGTCAGCAATTTCACCTGCCTTGAAAGGGGCAGTTAGTGTACAGCAGTATTCCAGCCTAGAGAGATCAAGCGATGTGAAGAGAATCATCATAGGTTTGGCATCTCTAGTTTTGAAGGTTCTCATTATCCAGTCTATCATTTCTCTAGCAAATAAGGTAGACACATTGTTGTGGTCTTTGAAGGTGAGATCCTCTGACATTATCACTCCCAGGTCCTTCACATTAGTTTTACGCCCTATTGTATGGTTAGAATTTTTTTATACCCTGATACTTTTTTAATTTCCTCAAGTTTTCCATATCTGAGTAGTTGAAATTTCTCATCATTGAATTTCATATTGTTTTCTGAGGCCCATTCAAAGATTTGATGTTCGCTTAGAGTCTTGCTATGACTTACATCTCTGTGTCATGTATGAGGATGACGAACAGGTTGGGAGCGAGTGCTGTGCCTTGTGGATAGAAGCTTTACACTGTAGCCGCCTCAGATTTTACTGTTTACTATTACTCTTTGTGTTCTATTTGTTAGGAAATTATAGATGCAGCTACCAACTTTCCTGTTATTCCTTTGTCATGCGTTTTGTGTGCTATTATACCATGGTCGTGCTTGTCGAAGGCTTTCGCATTTTGTTTACCCTCGGGAACGCCCGGCCGGAGTGCCGTATTAGGCCCGCGAAATCAATTGGTCTGGCCCTGCCAAGGGAACTGCAGGTGGGACTCGAAATTCAATAAATGTAGAAGGTTTTTCATGGCAACATAAATTTATATTAACCCTTTCCCATACCGATTTACACTGTATAGTGAAAAAAAATACGAAACCTAAAATCCAAATAATTATGCAGAATTATGAAGATGCCTTTTACCTTTAGTGTGTATGAGTGTGTGTGTGTGTGTGTGTATGAGTGTGTGTGCGTGTGTGTGTATGAGTTTGTGTATGTGTGTGTGTGTGTGTGTGTGTGTATGTGTGTGATTATGTGTGTGTGTGTATGAATTTGTATGTGTGTGTGTGTGAGAGAGAGACTCAGCAATCAACATTTGCACCAATAACTCACTACAGTTGTGACCGGGTGTGGAAGTGTGAATTGCTCATTACTCTAAAATTTGTTCATGATTGCAGCCATGTATACACGTAAGTAACCATTCTTACAGTATTCATTACCTTTGTAACTTGTGAGTTCATTACCTTTGTAACTTGTGAGTTCATTACCTTGTACCTAGTTCAGCCATCAAAACTTTGGAGCCCGGTCCCTGGACCCATTGTGTACCTCTGTAATCTGTAAATACCTTTGTAACTTGTCATGATTGTGACTAGACCTACCTGGAGTTCATTACCTTTGTAAATTGTGAGTTCATTACCTTTGTAAATTGTGAATTCATTACCTCTGTAACTTGCTCAGCTATCAAAACTTTGAGGCCCAGTCCCTGGACCCATTATGTACCTCTGTAATCTTTTGACTACCGCCCACAGGATGGGTATGTGGTGCATAATAAACATATTAAACTAAACTTATGATAAATTTTATAAAAATTTGGAAAAATATACTGATATTTTTTATGTGCGAGTAATTTTGTTTGAGTTAATCAAATGTCTGACCAAATATAAATGGTTAAATTTTAAGTTGATAATTTTGTATGGCCTTCGAATAATATAAATATCCAAATTGCTCTTGGCAGAAAAAATGTTCCCAACCCCAGCTCTAAAGCACCCAGGACCTTGTCATAGTGGTCCAGTAGCTGGGACAGGCAGGAGCAACCTGATCTAAACCTTTGTTGCCCTGGGGTGTGTAATTGATGGGTATCTGGGTGGTTGGCGATCTTGCTTCTTAGAACCCTTTCAAAGATTTTTATATGGGATGAGGGCGCTATCGGTCTGTAGTTCTTTGCAACTGCTTTACTGCCACCTTTGTGGAGTGGAGCTATGTCTGTTGTTTGTAATGACTGTGGTATGACTCCTGTGTCCATACTCCCTCTCTATAGAATGCTGAAGGCGGCCTTGATCCATGTTTCCGCGCGCTCTGAAAAAAAAAATCGAAAAATTATGGAAATTGAGTTATTTATCCCGAAAAATAGCTTAACTCTTTGGCAACACAATGGTACCAGAATGATTGTTCTACGACTTTTCTACAAGAAATTATAGTCATTTATATCAGGTATGGTGACGGCAATGTGGGTAGCGAGTCTGCTCACAGCCCATATATTTTTTGGAATTTTTTCCTTGTTTTTTATCTCTTTTTCTTGCATTATTCTTTCTAATATAATAACTGACTATTTGGCATCATAAAACAGAAGGCGGAGCTTATCCGTAGACTTAGAGCCAACCAGCACCATATGGGAACGCTCGGCAGTGTTCCCGCTCCAGAGAGTGCCAGTAGAAATCACTTCATTATTATGCTTATATCAGCTTATATATCAACTCTACGGCTTATTTATCTATCAGAATTGATCTAATATGATATAATAAACACTATAAATAACATACAAACATGTTAATATACTTTAGACTGAATAAAATAAGCCACAACATGGCGAGAGACCGTCGGGAATATTTCGATATATATGAGTGAATCCTCTCATGTCGTATTCTTTGGTCTCTAAGTAAGAGAAAACGGTGTTTTGAAGAAGTTAACTGCACTAGAACATCAATTTACCAAGAAATACACCCAAACAAACGTGATTTTCGCGATTTTTTTTTTTTTTGAGACGGGGGGCCGACCGGCGCTCCCGCCCAATATCTCGGAAGTAACTTATTCACCTAATGTAAATAATTCTTCCTTTGTTACTTAATTAAATGGAATAATATTCACAGAAATTGTAAAATAATGATTTCTCTATTTTCTGGTGGAATATTTTGGGAAATATTCCAATTATTTTGGGATTTATGCGGGAGTAAAGGGCTGATATTTTGCAACATTCTAAGAACTAACAAACTTTATTTTTTTGTGAAATAAAGATAAGATATTTAGAGGAAACTAATCCACCAGAAATTCGTAT